AATTGTAAGTTCATAATGTTAGAGCTCTTTGTTCATAATTCGATCAATAACTGTACATTCATAATTCCATAACTGTAGATTCATAATCTCATAACTGTAGATTCATAACTCCATACCTGTAGATTCATAACTCCATAACTGTACATTCATAATCTTCGAAGCTCTATATTCACAATTTTAAAGCTCCATGGTCATAATTTTATCACTATATATGTTCATAATTGTAAGTTCATAATGTTAGAGCTCTGTGTTCATAATTTCATAATTGCATAACTGTACATTCATAACGGCATAACTGTACATTCATAACGGCATAACTGTACATTCATAATCCAAAAAAAAAAAATAACGCCGTTAACGGCAAAACGCGCGCGTTTTTTTTTTTTTTTTTTTAAACTAAATGACGCGTTTTTTTTTTAAAACGACGTCGTTTTGGGCCCGTGTCCACAATTCACTGTGGACACGGGTCCAGGGCATAATTTGCCCTCATATTAATCGGGTTAGTCTAGTCTAGTTTAAATAATAACCAGACAAATAGCGGGCTAATTCTTTCATTTGGCATCCTCAAATAAAGAGAACTAAAGTGAGAACGGGATATAGAAAATGTCTTTTAAGTAAAAATTTAGAAAGACATTTTTTTATCAAAATGAGTTATTTTTTCTTCAATTAAAATGTTTTTTTTTTTTTTTTTTTTTTTTTTTTTTTTTTTTGGGTTGAATCCAATTATCTTTGATGGCTAACACTAGAAAATCTTTAAAAAAAAAATTGAGTTTCTAAACATGCTTTAAGTTGATGATTAGAAATAGAAAAAAGAAAATTTACATAATATTGTAGATACCCCTTAAAACGATTATGTCCACAGCCCATACAAGCTAGCTAGAAATGTTATGTTAACAACTTTAAAGATTTGTATATCCTGAGACTTAAATTCATTAGGAAACAATTATAGATATCCTTAGAACACTTATGCCTATAATAGAAATGTTATGTTGACAACTTCAAAGATATTTATATATTTAGACTTAAATTTATTAGGAAACAATTAGAGATGCCCTTAGAATGATTATGCCCATACTGGAAATAAATGTTATGTTGACAACTTTAAAGATTTGTATGTATTGAGACTTATTTCATTAGGAAACAATTAGAGATACCCTATGGTTTATATTGCATACACTCATGGACGGATATGTATAGTGTTCAGTATTATTTCACAACATAAGGGACACACAGTAAAATGCACACATCAGTTTTTGTGTTTGCTAGGGATGTCAATTGAACCCGCACCCGACGGGGAACCCGATTCCCCGCCCCTACGGGGACGGGGATGGGGACAGAAATAGGGGATCGGGGATGGGGGCAATTTTGAATTTCCCGCCGGGGACGGGGGCGGGGATGGGGAGTACTCTCCCCACCCCGTCCCGTCCCCGATATATATATATATATATATATATATATATATATATTGCCACGGACGGAGCCAGAAATTCGGTTGAGGGGGGGGGGGGGGGGGGGGGCGGCCGAAACAGTACAGACGTATTCAGAAAATTTTTCCAGAAAAAGCGAAACATTAAAACAAAAGAGATAATTTAAAAATAAATAAATAAACTATCTAAGAAATATAATTGTAAATATTGTTGGATATGGACGAAAAATAAAACACATCGAAACTTTATAAAAATATTCATAACAAAATATGAAACATAATTAATAAAATAATTTGAATAGAAAACATATTATAAATTACACATCTTATTATAGAATGTGTGTAATATTAAAAAAGAATTGTAAAACTATGTTGATGCTAAGATTGGAACCCTTAACCAAGCTCATTATTACCAAAAATGTGCTCTACCACCTACTCTAACTCACTTCTTGTTAACAATTTATAATTTTTTTATACTAATACTAAAACATGTACTATATATACATATATACATACAAATACTATATATGGGGTGGGGGTGGGGTGGGGTGAGGGGGGGGGGGGCAGCTGCCCCCCTCTCTCCCTCCGTCCCTGTATATTGCCACACAACACACACAAATGTAGTACTTTGTATACAATATATATATATAATTTTAGAAGTATTCTTGTCATTGTATATCATGCATATTTAAATAAAATGTTTAATTGTAAAATATTGAATACAACTTTGAGTTGGGGATGAATATATATGCGTTATTTATTTAAATGTTTTTTAATGTTTAATTTTTATTTTTTTTTATAACTTGTTAACGGGGTGGGGATTCCCCGTCCCCGAATAATCCCCGTGGGGATGAGGATGAGGGGGAATTTTTCATTCCCCGGCGGGGATGGGGATGGGGACGGGGAATGGGAAGAAAGTCGGGGACGGGGATGGGGGATATGTCCCCCGCCCCCACCCCGCCCCGTTGACATCCCTAGTGTTTGCACACATTTAGGATAGACCATATGCATACTAAAAACGTACAGTTATGCACACAACCCCCATATCAAATGCACACGCCCAAATTAAAACCCCCAGTAGAAAACGGAAAAAAAAAAACTTACTGATGTTTTCTTTAGCCATTGAAACGAATTGGAGTTCATCCACCGTTGGGTTCTACTCAATATGATTCCTGCGTTTAATTTTGTAATTTTTTTTATTTTTATTTTTTTAGTTTTAATTTCTATCATTGATGGAATCTTCTAAATACTGATAATATTGTATTTCAATTATATTTCAATGGGAAAATGGTCAAATGGGCCCCTAAACTTACCACAAAGATCAATTAGGTCCCTAAACTTTAAATTAAATCATCAAACATGTCAAATTGGGTCAATAAAGTCCAAAAATTGATAAATGATCTGTAATAATTTACCAGTTTTGGCCTTCATTGACCCAATTTAACATGTTTGAAGGTTTAATTGCACTTTTTTAAAGTTTAAGGACCTAATTAACCTTTGAGGTAAAGTTTAGAGGTCTGTTTAACCATTTTCTCTATTTCAATTCAAAGAAGTAACTAAAATTACTGTGCCATGCACCCCTATGTATTAATTATATCCTAAATGAGTCTTTAAATTCAATCCTTACCATTAATTAAAATTAATTGGATGATTGAGATCATGATCTCATCTACAAGCTATGATGGTCTCATAGGACCGGCCCATACATATACATACGGCAAATTATTGTGTGGACCATGGTCCACACAATGTTATGTGGACCATAACAAAAAGTACATTTTTAATATACTAAATGTACATTATTTTTGTACTGAATGTACATTATTTTTGTACTGAATATACATTATTTTACAGTAGACAAAATATGGTCCATAGAATAATGATTATATATATATATATATATATATATATATATATATATATATATATATATATATAAGGAAAAGTTTGCTCATCATATCCGTTTAATTAGCTCGGTAAGCTTAAAAGCTAAGCTAGCTAGCTAGCTGAGCTCAAACTCGGATATTTAGGAGCTTATAGTTTATTTTAAGCTACTAATAAGCTATGAGTTCTGTTTGGTAATATTCTCAAAATAAGCTCCTAGCTTAAAATAAGAGTTTATTTTGAAATGCTACCTTAGATAGCGTTTCAAAATAAGCAGCTTCCTAACTATTTTTCTATCTTTATTTTAAAGAAATGACATAATTATCCTTCCCAATTAAAACCATTTTCTCTTTCCCATTTATTCGCAACTTTCACTGCAAATATTATTATTATTATTATTATTATTATTATTATTGTTGTTGTTGTTGTTGTTGTTGTTGTTGTTGTCGTCGTCGTTGTTGTTGTTGTTGTTGTTCTTATTATTATTATTATTATTATTATTATTATTATTATTATTATTATTATTATTATTATTATTATTATTATTATTATTATTATTATTATTATGAGATTTGCAACAATATTGCTACTTCATTATGAGATGTTAGATCATGATTATGCTAATAGTTTGATTTCAAAATGTTAATTTTTTTTAAAGACAAAATGTTAAATTTTAATATGTAAACAAACTAATTTAAATTTTATGAAAATGTCCTTTTTAGTCTTTATACATTTATAAGCTTATCAAAAAGCTAATTTTACCAAACACTTTCAATCATAACAGCTAGTTTAACCGCTCTTCAATTTTCAGCTCCAAGCTTATAGCTTTTCAACTAGGTTTGCCAAACAGAGCCTTAGTACTAATAACTTAATTAGTTTAAGCTAATCCCATCCCAGCAATTTCCCCCTTTGTAGATGATGTGAATTTTTAAAAGTTCTTCTAAAAGGCTGAACCCCAACCCTAAAGGCTCCCCACGCCCCGACCCGACAAAGCATTTGGGAGGATGTAAATCATGGTAACTCAACTGAATTTTTAAAAGTTATTTTGTTTTAATTTTTTTTTGCCATGTTGGCAAGCTTTCTAGTCCTATTTGTGTACCTTTTTTTTTTTTTTTTTTTAAATTTATTAGTTATTTATTATATTATTTTATTAGTATATTTATAATATAATGATATAATATATTAGTGGGATCACTTTAGAAAGTGAGAGAATATTGCAGTGACGTGGTGTGAATATAATAAATGATTTGCAAATTGAGTAATGTGAAAGTGAGACCCATTTTAAAAAGTATGAGAGATTTGCAGGATAAAAGTTAGCCTTAGTCAGCTTATTAGTTAGCTAACTCAGCTCAAGCTCGGCTACAGTTTTACGGGTTGGTTTAGCGCAGCTTATAATGCAAAGTTTAGTTGCCATCCATGCCCACATGTATATTCCATTGAATGTTTAAGTTTGATATTTGAATTTTTAAAATAATCAAAGTATGGAGTTCAACCATTGAATAATTATAGGAATACACAAATCAAAATAAGGCCCCACTAAGTGACAAGACACATATTTTAACAGAACAGTAATAAATATTCTAACAGCATCATATATATATATGTTGATCGACATGGAAGTATTTGAAAAATGGTAAAGACGTGTGGATCACTACGTACAGTACGTACAACAAAATGCATTTTGGAAAGATTAGATTTCTGGGCGCAGATGAGATGAGATGTTTGCAAGTGCAATGACTCCGATGCCAAGAAGAAGGGCCAGGAACTTATGATAAGGCTTTTCCACGGCCACCGGCGGCTGAGGCCCGTAACCCTTGGAGAGCAGATGGTTATGGGAAATGTATATGAAAGAACCTTTGGCAAGGCCCATTGAGATTGAGTAAATCCAGTCCGCAACAGAACCTTGAGTTGTGGCGTGGATCACAATCCCAATGGAAACGCCAACTGGACTGGCAATGGCAAATGCAAATGCATAAGCTATGGTGGACGAGAGGTGGCGATCCGGCGGGATCATTCTCAGCACTGCTATTCCCATTGCAATTGCGCCAAATATTTTCTGGAAGCAGATTGTCATCACAACATTCTTCCAATCATTAACAGTTTTGGCGTCTCCTGCAACTCCAATGGCGATCCCCTCCAATGGTGTCCCCGAATGTCAAGAAATAATGGTTTTCAGTTTCATCCATCACCTGCTGCAACTCTGATTCTCCATTTAAATTTCCACCCTCGGCGGCGTTTCCTGCATGCATGCATTGCAATATATGGGTAAACTCATACATAATGGGAGAATAAAAAGATCAGATAAGAAATTAAAAGCAAAAATTAAACCTTGGAGCTCAAGATCGACGGTGGGTTTATCAGAGCCCTCATTTGTGTGCTTCCCATAAATATAAGAAATCACACAACCAGCAAACATAACCAGCATGCATGTAGCCACAACTCGTGAGCATGAACGCCAACGGGTATTTTTTACCACTCAACTCATCGAAAATTTCATTAGCATCGCTCAACAAATGCATCATAGCAGTTCTGCCAGTTCCCAGAAACACAGCGCTGGCCAACTTCGTCCCGAGCACCAAGAACCCCTCGTTCCACCTGAGAAAGTAGGGGGATATTCCCCCGGCAAACACGAGAATCAGGCACCATATATTTACCAGAACCAAGGACCGATGTCTCAGGTTAGGCTTTTCAGGGGGTGAGTATTCGATGTCGGAATTGGAGGCGGAGACAACGAGGAAGAAGAGGAGGAAGGCAAGAAAGAGAAGAGAGCGAGCCATTTTTTGTGGCAACTTAGCTTGGATCACTCAAGCATAAATGGTCTCATAACTTGGGTTAACGTCGTTTATTGTTCGTATATTGATTGGAACAATTGACAGAGCTTTAACGTCCGTTTATTAAGTGCTATGGTTGTATACTTGTATACTGTGATTTCTCCGAAAGGAACAGAACTTTAAAGACACGGTTGATACTATGGGAGTGTGGGGCCATAAAGAAAGAAACCACATCTCACATGCATTCATTCCACAGTCCGCACAAAGAAACCACATCTTCACATGGATTCTTGATTTCTTTCCATATAAAGAAACCACATCCATCTTGTAAAATAAATATTAACTTAATTGAAACTAAAGTGTATATAAAATAAAATTGGAGGTAAAACTTTAGTTGTGATGCAATAAATTACAATATATATAAAACAAAACTGAATATGTTATATAAATAGAACTAATTACGCGAAATAAATGTCCACAGTAAAATTTGTCGAATGACACATAACTTGACTTGAAGACACAAATCAAAATTTTTTTCGGTTAATCAAAATATTTTAGTCTAATTTTTAAAAATCTTAAAATTTATAAATAAATTAGTAAACTTATAGTTTCACTCCACAAAATAAGAAAATTTGAAAAACTAGTCTTTTTTTTTTTTTTTTTTTTTTTTTTTTTTTTTTTTTGAAAAACTAGTCTAATAGTATAATCTATATATATATAAAAGTAAAATCCTCCTATTTCATTTTCCCGCTCAAACTTTTGTTGTAAAACTTATTTGGTAACTAAATGTAAAATAAAAATTAATTAGAATTTATTAATTGATAATATTGTTTCCATATTCACGTATTAACCTAATTGGTAAATCTATTAATTGGTAATATTTTTTTCCTTATATTCATTTATTCATTTATTTATATTGAGTAATTGTATATAGAGATATAGATATGTATACTAAAATACAACTGTTATTTCTCCATTGAAGACTTGCAGAGCTATTAGATTGCAATTGGTGCGCACCTATATGAAGTCCCATAGAGAAAGGGGAGTAATTCCATAAAATTTAGAGAGTGCATATTTCACGATTAAGAGGTATTTTGTTTTCAATCTTTTTTCTACGACTCTAATGTTTATCCTTACCCAGGATATTTCTCCGTTGAAGACTTTCAAAGCTATTAGATGGTGATTGGTGTGCATCTATATGAAGTCACATAGAGAAATGGGAGTGATTCCATAAAATCTAGAGAGTGCGTATTTCACGTCAAATGGTATTTTTTTCAATTTTGCTTTTTTATTTTTCTAGAACTCGTGTTATATATGAAATTGGGAAAAAGATGCATTACATAGCTACTTCCTATACTGCAAAAATAAATTGCAAAATAAAACTTTTCTTTTTACTCCATTGTAGGGAACTTCATGCTCATATACCAAGGGAGCATGTCGGTAAGTATTGTTAGCTTTTCAAATAATGAAAAGTTTATACCATTAAAAATTTTATGGTGATAAATAATTTTTATATTTACAAAAAATGCACTCATTATTTTATGTTGTAATTCAACTATGCTACTTTGGTTAAAGAATAAAAAAAAAAATGACAACTTTCCTAGACAAATTTATTTATTGAAATCATTTTTATCCTTGAAGTCTGTAGATGATAAACAGTTCATTGGTAAGTTTCATTTACAACTTTAATCTACATCTGAATAATTTTTTTTTTATTAACATGTTTGACGTTATTGGTAGGGTCATTGAGATATACTTCCCATTGGATAAGATCATTGCAGGGAAACCTTCTTAACTTATTGATTTTCTAATTGTATGTGTATACAAAGTAAATTATATAATTTGTTATTTTTATTGTATTTTGTATATGTATTTTTTTATTAAGTAGTTTATTTGTTTATAGGGACAATCAATTGAAGACTACAGTGTGAGATCAACATGTACCAAGAGTAGAAATCTTTTTTTTTTTTTTATGTCTTAATCATTATCATAATGTTTTTATCATTTATTTTTGTACATATTTTGTTTATGATTGTCATTTTTTTTTGTTTTCAGTTTATGTTGATTAGACCCCTCTAAGAAACATTATTGATATTTATGAGATGATTGAGGTAAACCGTAGCAATAAAACATTTTTTTTTAAGTTGATGCAGTGACCTCAAATTTTATAATCATCTTTTGTCACTTTTTTAAATTATTTATTAATATAAATTGTCACACTTTAAAATGTATTTTTTTAATGTTAATAAATAAAGTAGCTTAAAATAATACATTAAAATACAAAGGATAAGCAAAGTATAATCTAAAGTATAAAATAAAGCCAAAGTTGTACATGTTTGCAAAGTGATGGAGCATTGTAATAGTCCCAGAGCATCCAAATAAAGGCATCATTTAACTGATTATTTCTTTCTTATCTCACATTAAAGGTTCAATACTGCAGATATATATAAAGTATTAGTAATAACATTGGTACTGCTAAATGTGTATATAACTAATTATTTATTAATTTAGGATCAAAGAGTGCCCTATATGATCTTAGAGCTCAAATTTTACTTTCAGATATATTATAAATAATCAACCTACATCACTACTATCTTATCTTCATATGAACAAAACTCATCATCCTTGAAGGGGTGAAAACAATTAAGAGTCCCTCACTACAATTTTCCTCTCGGTAATCATAGTTTCTTTCGTTTAACTTAAAAAATAAATGCTTCACATATAATAGTAAATAGAATTATAATATAGTAGAAAATAGAAATTAATATTATTGGTAAAGTATATATTAGTTGAAATTGTACTTATCTTTAGTAAATCGTTTTTTTTTTTTTTTTTTGTACGTACACTTCTAGAAGATTCTTTTGAGCCTTCAAACATGTGTGCATGTGCACATACAGAACTATAAACTATCATTTTTAGATTGAATTCATCTTTCATGTGTAGTTGTATTTTCACCAACTAATTTAATAAAGCTTATTTTGTAAGCAAATGTAAAATGGATATTAACTAAAATCTTGGTAATATTATTTCCATATTCACGTATTAACGTAATAACACAATACCATATAGAAAACACATTACTTATATTCTATAATATAATAATATTTTTGGTAACATTATTGTTTGCAAATTCTCTGTATTTTTTTTACGCATTTATAATACCGTGTAGAAAAGACATTAATTAATTATGTAATACCATAATAGCATAATTGGTAATATTATGTATGGTATTAGCGTGTAGAATTTTTAGATGTTTATCACCAACTAATTTAATACAACTTATTTTATAAGCAAATGTAAAATAGAAATTAACTAAAATATACTCTTGGTAATATTGTTTCCATATTCAATGCTCTCACATACTAACATAGTACCCTATATAACCAATTTAAACAATTTATTCTTCCAAAGGGAACATAAATATTTCACAATAATATTTTACATCATCAATTAAAAATGGAATGGAAATTAGGTAAATTGAAAAAAGAAATAAATATTAATAATTCACTAAAAATTTAAAATGAAAAAAAAAAAGAATTGAAGTTAGGTTAATTGGAAAAGGAAATGAATATTAATAATTGACTAAAAATAAAAAATGATCCATAATTGACTAAAATAGAATAGGAAATAATTAAATCATTGCATTTTAATTTTTCACAATAATATTATACAATATAAAATATCAAATCATAATTATGTCATAAATCTTTCACAATTTTAAACAATAAAATGAAAATTAAAAATGAAACGAAAATATTTTAATAATAATATTCTACATCATCAAGTAAAAGTAAATTAAAAATGAAAAGGAAATATTTAAATAATAATATTCTACAACATCAATAGTAAAGGCATATTTTAAATAATAGTAAAGGTAAATTAAAAATGCAACGAAAATTAAAGTGAAGTAGAAATATTTCAATAATAATACTATAGATCATCAATTAAAATGGAACAAAAATTGGGTAAAAATTATCATTGCATATGATATTCTAATTGGCTAATTGACTAATTGAGTGAAAATAAAAAAGAATAATTGGCTGAAAATGAATATGACATTACAAATTGACTAAAAATATAAAAGGAAATGAATACTAATAGTTTACTACAAATAAAAAAAATGATACATAATTGATTAATATGAAAAAAATATATATATGGTTAGATCATTGCATTTTAATTAAAAATGGAACGGAAACTAAAATTTGACGCAAATATTTCAATAATAATTATACACCATAAACAGTAAATGCATATTTTAAACAATATTAAAGATAAATTAAAAATAAAATAGAAATATTTCAATAATAATATTATACATTATCAATTAAAAATGGAACGAAAATTAGGTAAAAATATCACTGCATATGATATTCTAATTGACTAAAAATATAAAAGAATAATTTGCTGAAAATGAATTTGATATTACTAATTGACTTAAAATATAAAAGAATCGCTAATTTACTAATACTCTACCATTATATATTTTTACCCGAGTCACCTATCCTGATGGACTGAAGGTGTTAGCTCTATACAATGAAGGACTGGATTGCATTGCTACTACTAATGTCGTCTACAAAGAGGTTTCAATAATGTATAAATACAATCGGTGATATTATGTTTTTTAAATGACAAAATTGCTATATATCTAGACAAAGAAATATATATTCCATACAAATAAATTAAGATAGCAATTCATTCCTATAACTGAGTTGCTAGAGAACGAATACATTTGCCTAATTTATAAAAAAAAATACTAAATAATGATAAATACAATCTCCAAAGTTACAGCACTGCATGCGTACACCTACACATTAGCTATTAATTTGAGCAATTATTTGCTCAAATTCAAACAATGATAACATCAAAACACATAAATAATCCAAACCATATCTTCAGTTGCACTATATAATATTTGATGTTTTAATTTAAATGATTATATATCAATCCAAATATTTTTAATATATTATAACAAATTCATCCCGTGCATCGCACGGGCGAAAATACTAGTTTATAAATTATAAAAAATTAGAACATATATATATATATCTACAAACATAATAAGTCTCAATTAAGGTTATATCCTTGATTTATGTCCCTCTTTTTGTATGCAAATAAATGTGTACATTTTACTTTAAATGTAGTACATTCTAATGTTATTAGACAAAATTACCCTTACACCGTTATAATACCGTTAGTTTTTAATTGTAACATTGATAACATATCATTATTACCATACACCTATATTTATCATATATTTTTCCTATTTTTTAATTATCATTTTATTAAAATCATTATATATTAATTTAATACTTAATTATATTTTAATTAAATTTCTATGAATGATAAATTATATGTGTGTGTACAAAATACATATATTATTTGTGTATATATAATTCAAATTATACTTTTTAATTATTTGTATTTATCAAATGTTTTAATATTGGGCATGAATTTTCGCGCATCGCACGTATAAAATGCTAGTACTAATATACATGCTTAGCATCTTGTGCTCAGATGGTATGTAGTGACTTCTCTCATATGCGAGGTCATGAGATTGAGTCTCAGCGTTGTTAGCTCTTTGTGCTTCTCTGAACAGATACTATAATGTAATAGAGTCAGTAGCATCTAAAAAAAGACTTTTCCCTTGTGTGGACCATAATAAAAAATACATTTTTAATATACTAAATGTACATTATATAATATAATGTACACTCAGAACAAAAATAATGTACATCCTCTGATTACAATGTACATTATTTTTGTACTGAATGTACATTATTTTACAGTAGACAAAATATGTTCTGCACAACTTGTGTGGACCATAGTCCACGCAATAATGATTGATGTTTGTGTCGTTTCAGCAGTGGCCTATTATTGGCACTTTTGGAAGACAAGCTTGAAGACAAACGGCATGTGTGAAAACTGAAAATTGTCAAGTTATTTTATTTATTTATTTATTTATTTATTTTTTTTTTTGAAACCAGTGTCAACGTAGTATTTTTGGGAGGAAATAAAATAAAAAGAAAAGAAAAGAAACGCAACTAATTACACAATTTCTTTCTCATCAAATAGTTTGGAGCTCTTTTGTTCAAAGAAATGCCTGTCTTATATATTTAGTACAATTTTCTATTTCTATTTTTCATCTCATTTTTTTTTTTTTTAAAGTTTTGGTCTTCAATCAGAAAGCATGCTCAAATTTAATTGATTTTAATTTATAAAATATGAAATTAATTAAAATTAAATTCTTTGTTATACTTTGATAAAAATGTTTTTGATAAACAACATTAGAGGATGGTGGAGGTAATTAACAGTTGGCTAAGAATACAAACTTGTAACCATAAAGTCACTAATTTAAATCTCAGCCCTTTTAGTTTGAGCCAATTATGCTATTTGAAAGAATGAATGAAAGCAATGGAGGTAATTAACAGTTGTCAACCTAGTTGTTTATCTTCTGTCACGACTATGGCAAATGAAACTGAGGAAAATCATGCTAAGGCATGAAACAGACGCAAACTGAAGTGATCAGCCAAAAGGCTTGGCAGAAGAGGGACAAAACGACAGCGTATGACCAGAGGAGGTTGGTGACCATTACACTAAATTAAACGCCTAGAGACAAGTAGTTGGGACAGTTAGCAAAGGATCAGATGACATCGTTTCATGTGTATTGGGCTGAGCTGGGCAGCAGAGATTCCAGGAGCTGCTGAGACCACATTCCTCTGCAAATAATAACAACCCTTGTCCTATATATGATTGTAATATTTGTGTTTTTTTAGATGATGCTCAGACTTGGAAGACTTAGAATGAATTCTTTCTCTTTACCCTAAATTTATCTCTTTTCCCTTCCCTTTCTCCTCTGTTTTCTCTTCTTTTCTATCAAAAAACCAAGAGTGTGACATTTGGTATCAGAGCCCCATCATGGGATCTCAGACTACGGCATCAATGGATGACAAGATGAGCAGACTAGAAGCTCTGGTTATGGAGCAAAGTAGTAGGCAGGCAACTGGTCAGCAAACCATGGAGGATACTGTCTAAGATCTTAAGGTATACATGGAGGCTTGGAAGAATGAGATTCTGGAGCTACTAAGGCTGAACAGACCACCTCCACCAGTACTGGACCCCTCCTTAGTGCAAGGACAAGTCCATACTCAACACCCTAGTCCTGGGGAAGGTGTCTCTGAACCTGGAAGAATGCCAGGCAAAGAACCAGCTGTGGATGGCCAAGATGATGTCCAGGAGGTGTCTGATGGAGAGGAAGGTCAAAATGAACACCTGCCATCTTACCAAGGAGGTCCTAGGGGTGCTGATAGGCCTTGGGTTCCTAGGAGAGTTAACTTGGATGCCAGGCACTTTCACCCTAACCAAGGAGGAGATCCCTTAATGAGGTATAAGCAAGAATTCCCTATCTTTGATTATGAACACCCTAGATTGTGGGTAGTGAGGGGTGAGAGATTCCTTATGATGGTTAGAATACCTAGGGATGAGGTGATCAATGTTTTGTGTGTTAATCTGTCTGGGAAGGTTGGATTATGGTTTGAGAGTTACCTTAATGGACTAAGAGCAGGTTTTTAGTGGACTGATTTTGTAAGGGCTATGTGTAAGAGGTTCTGTGAAAACAACACTGATGTGATGGAGGACTTTGCTGATAAGTATGAGGAATATATAGGGCTATTGTTGCAAATATATCCCTATCTCACTGATCAGTATTTCTTAGACAGTTTCATAGTCAGACTTAAGCCCAGTTTCATGCCTCCCTAAATGAAACTTTAGGTTCAGCAATGCAAGTGTGGATGTAATGGTAAACATGAGGGATGAACTCCCGAATTCTATGATTTCCTGTTGGTATCTCTTCTCAACATCGTTGTCCATTACCTTACATGTGAGAGTGAATAATGCAATTTCTGAGAATCCTAATTGTCTGCTAACTGTATCAAAGAATGCAAAGAAGTATGCTGTATGATATGTTTCAGTAGTTAGACTACGCGTCACGGGTCTATGGTTAACGGAAGAAGAAGGTGGTTTACCTAGGGTGGCTGATTATAGAATAAGAGAGGAGAAGTTGCGGAAGAAACTTCCTTTGATTTTATTCAATACCAACTTAACTTGACAGATTAATATTCTCCCATATATATAGGAGTTACAACCAAAGATATAAGGAAATAATATTCTAAAAACTACTAAACTAAGTATGAAGGAAATCTTTAATAAAAGGAAACAATATAACTAAACTAGTAAATGAAACAATGTAACTAATTTGATCTTTAGGTAGTATGAACCAGTTGAGCAACAGGATCTGTAATGTATCATTACACTCCTCTTGGAGATCAAGCTTGAAGGAGGTGACAACGTTCAAGTTAAATTCAGGTGATTCCATCGCGTGCGTTCATCTCCGTGGATGCAAGCCAAGCAAGCAGTTCGTCGCCATCCTCTAATGTCCATAACATAACAAAGTGGCAGCATTTATGTTTGGGTAATGTATTTGCACCAATAGCAGCAGGTGGTTTAACCATATGGCCTCCTCCTCCCCCTCCAGGCATTATAAGGACAACATTCATAGGCTGTGCAGACTTAAGTAGTGATGCAACATATGAAGGGGTAGCAATGCAAGTCCCAGCAGCAACAGTATATGTTTTGACCATTGAATCTGGGCTGAGGGTTGTCTTTGTTTGTGGCTTTTTTTAGGGCACTCGTGCTATTGAAGGTCCAGTGCTCCTGGGTTCTGTGCCACCATAACAGAGTCTTGTTGCTGACCCAGATGAGTATGGGATTGGGTACTAACAAATGAAGTCTCAGCAGCAAGAGGATTAGTAGGGTTACTAGGTGGGATATTTTCATTTGCTTGATTGGCAAGAGCAATGGCATGATTATGAGATGCAGTGGACAGAGCAGAGACCTTAGGATATGGAGAAAAATGGAGGTGGTGATCCCCTATGTCTGTTGCAGTGGAGACCCCTTCGGTTTGAGCAGTAATTCGGTGCTGCAAATTTCCAGATTTTATATATCAGTGTTTAGGATTTGTATCAATTGGGCGAATTAGCTCGTTGTCTAGCAACCCAGTTATAGAAATTATTTATACGAAACATATATTTTCTATGTAGGTATATAGCAATTTTGTCCTCTTTGTATAAAAAAAAAACATAATATCACTGGCTTGAATTACACATTATTGAAAATCTCTTTGTAGAGGACATTGGTAGTAGTAACATAATTTTATACATCCTCGTCTAGAGTTAAAACCATAAGACCATCTGGATGGGTAACTCGGGAAAAAAGCCACATACAATTAACCGTGATTAAAGATTGTTTTTTTTTTTCCAGTAATAACTCAACGTGAGTTAACGTTTGACCCTGACTTTTGTTGATAGTCATGGCATATGCGAACATAAACATGAATTGTTTTCATTAGAACTTGAAGGGGCAATCTCGTATCAAAAGGGTGAAAGACATTTTAATTGAAGATTTTACTTTTATTAATAGTATAGATATAGATTGGTGTAAGTAATAATTAATAAATTATTATTTTCTTATAAAATTACATAGAATTTTAAATGGATTTTCCCATTTATTACACAGAATTTGTTTCCGTTATTCTCACAATTATAATGGTTTAATTATTCTCAGAATTTGATAACCATTTTCCATTTTTAAGTACATATTGACTTTAATATGTTGTAAAAATTCATTAGAGTAATAATTAATTTATGATATTGCAATAATTAATTTATGATATTTATCAAATTGTATCTTTTTTTAAAATATAAAATTTTCGCATGTTTAGGGGTTAAAAAATATTTTAAAATTATTTTTATTTTTCAAATATTTTCCAGCAACCCAAACACTCCCTTAGTCTCGCATAAAAACTGATAAAGAAAAGTCATTTCACTAAGGAAATTAAAACTAATTAAAGTAGATCTAATCATGTTGTATTTATTTGTAACTATATATAAATTTCATTTTGAAATCATTGGTTCACATATTTGAATTATTTATTTTTTCTTTAATTATTCTCATCGTGAACATAAATGATATTGCAATAATTAATTTATGATATTTATCAAATTGTATTTTTTTAAATATAAAATTTTCTCATGTTTAGGGATTAAAAATTATTTTTTATAATAAGTATTTTTATTTTTAAAATATTTTCCAGCAACCCAAACACTCCCTTAGTCTCTAATCAAAAACTGATAAAGAAAAGTCATTTCATTAAGAAAATTAAAACTAATTAAAGTAAATCTAATCATGCTATATTTATTTGTAACTGTATATTAATTTCATTTTGAAATCATTGGTTAACATATTTGATTTATTTATTTTTTTTTAATTATTATAAACAGAAATTATGATATTTATCAAATTGTATTTTAAAAAATATAAGATTTACACATGTTATGAGGGGTTAAAAAATATTTTAAAATCATTTTTTATTAGTACGTATTTTTATTTTAAAATATTTTTTAGCAATCCAAACACTCCCTTAGTCTTCCATAAAAAAATTGATAAAGAAAAGTCATTTCATTAAGGAAATAAAACTAATTAAAGTAAATAATAATAATAATAATAATAATAATAATAATAATAATAATAATAATAATAACATTTGTGGTGAAAGTTGCAGATAATGATTCCTAAATAAAAAGACTTTTAATTGGGGAGGATAAATGATGTCATTTTTTTTTTAAATAATAAGAAGAAAGATGGAAAAAAAGTTAGGAATCTATTAGCTTATTTTGAAATGCGTTTCAAAATAAGCTCTTATTTTAAAGTTTAAACTATGAGCTTATTTTGGAAGCATTACCAAACAAGACAAATTATTGCATGAACCATGGTCCACACAATTGTGTGGACCATGAATATCAAATACATTTTTAATATATTAAGGGTACATTATATAAAATAATGTACCTTTAGTATATTAAAAATGTACTTTAAAAAATATGTTTTATGTACATAAATAATATATTCTTAGTATATTAAAAATGTACTTTTTATTTATGGTCCACACAATTGTGTGGACTATAGTTCATGCAATAATAGTTGTCCAAAAAGAAATTATATCTTATTAGTAGCTTAAAATAAGTTCTAAGCGCAGTGAACAGACCCAAAGAAAGTGGCAAATAAAGGATTGGAGACTCGGAATTGGTAAATGTAAAGACGTTATAATAGGAAAAGTTTGCTCATCATATCCGTTTAATTAGTTCAGTAAACTTAAAAGCCAAGCTAGCTAGCTGAGCTCAAACTCGCATATAGTATTAATAGCTTAATTAGTTTAGTTAGCTAACTCAGCTCAAGCTCGGCTACAGTTTTACGGGTTGGTTTAGCGCAGCTTATAATGCAAAGTTTAGTTGCCATCCATGCCCACATGTATATTCCATTGAATGTTTAAGTTTGATATTTGAATTTTTAAAATAATCAAAGTATGGAGTTCAACCATTGAATAATTATAGGAATACACAAATCAAAATAAGGCCCCACTAAGTGACAAGACACATATTTTAACAGAACAGTAATAAATATTCTAACAGCATCATATATATATGTTGACATGGAAGTATTTGATGAAAAACGGTAAACAGGTGGAAAGGAGAAGAAGATGGTACACCGTTGATGCAAGATGCCCTTATTGTGACTATATAGAGGAAGATATCAAGCACTGCAAAAGGCGAAAGAAATATGAGAAGTATTTATACCCTATGAGGCTAACAAGTGGTTTTTCTCAATGAATTTTGATGCTTGGCTATCCTTTAATGTTACAGGGAAGCCAAGAAGCAGACTGGAATGAGCTTATTAACAGATACAAGTGGCAAGTCAAAGAAGAATAGATTCAAGACCAGAGGGCGGAGATGTCAAGGGCTTTCTCTAGACAATCTCTCCTACCTGCGCAGAAGAAGAAGGAAAGAAGAACCAGCATTCTGGAACCTGGCTGGACTGCCCTCCACACGGATGCTTCGTTCATCTCGGAGGACCTTAATTCCCACTGGCTGTGGCGGAGTTTTGCGGGATCACAATGGGGACTGGCTTGGAGGCTTTAGTTGTATGACGAAGACAAAGAACGCTACTGAAGGCGAGATGTGGGCAGCCTACTTAGGCCTAAAATGGACTCGCAACTAGTGGCTGATTGGCTTTCGGGTAGCACTGCACCCTTAGGCCAGTGTGGAATGTTAGTGGCATGGAGTAAACAATGGGACTGGATGGTGACTATTACCTAGTACCTACACACCACGTGAGAATAATAATGTCGCTGACTGGCTGGCTAAATCAGCAAGAGTTGGCTTCTGCAGAGAGTAGAAGCTAGTGCCACTGGGTACCCCAATTTTCCCAACAAAAAAACAAAAAACAAAAAAAAAAAAGCAAAAGGTAAAGACGTGGATCACTACAGTGTTAGATATACAATAGTCTAACTATAATAAATCATAGTATACGAGAAACCTGACCTCGTATGATAGCGGAAGCGTAGCCGTGTTGATCTCCAGCCATAGTTGATGTTCCTGTTGTGTTGCCTCTTAATACTTGTGGAATATTTTGGACTTATTGTTTAACATACAATCAAATTTAGGATGTATGAAGCCATTTAAATCCATAAACTTTAGTGGAGTAACTTAATGATCTTTTTCTAAATGATCACTCCCACTGATTAAAACATTCTTCAGCAAAATTAATAAAATGAACTTAATAATATACATACTCATAATTGATTTATTGACCAACTAACAAATGAAGACATAATTCCCCACCATTAGTTGGACATACTAAATAATCAATTTTTGGTTCCAATTAAAGTCCAACTAAATAATGAAGATATATTTCCCCACCATAGTTGGACATACTAAAAGAAACAAAATACATCTTTCAAAACCAAGGTAGAATTTGGCTCAAAAGATACATTTTAACATTATTGGAATCCAAGAGATGTATGTCAAATCACGTAACTTACTACAGTTAGTCCGAAAAACCGAGCAAGATCCGTGGATCAATTAATAAAAGTTGCTAAATTTTGGGAAGTGACTGAATACATGTTTTGCCAATGCAAACCATGAAACTTAGAATTATAATTGAACTGAATTTATAACTCTAAGAAATTGTGATAAAATCATTATCTAATGGGTCGAAGGATTTATTGACATAAAACTTGCCTGTGGGCTAAAGTTTTAATTCTATTAAATCCAATTAAGAAACCCTTATGATAATATTTTTCACAATTGCTAAAGACCCAGAAGAATCTAGTGACATAAAACTTGCCTGTGGGCTAAAGTTTTAATCAATTAGATCCTAACTGAAAAATTTATTTATGATGAAACCATTATCAAATGAGTTGAAGAATCAAATGACATAAAACTTGCCTGTAGGCTAAAGTTTTAGTCAATAAAATTCATTATATCATTATGATAAAAAACTTAAGAGATCATGTTCCTTTTCTTAATCCCTGTGGGCAAATTAAGAAATATGATCTAAAGTTTACATCATAAAATTAATCTTCATGATAGAATTGGAAATTATTTACAAATAACCATAAAGTAAATAAATTGATTTATTTCTATCGTTACTGATAAAACTACTAAACTACATTCCGATACATAATTGCCTGTGGGCGAAATTATGACCGTAGTCCAGTATTTCATCCTGATTAATTATACAAATATAACGAAATTGCCTGTGGGTTAAATTTCATCATATTACATACAATTAATCATAAATGATATGTCCAAAACTTTATGTGATCAAAATAAACCGCTTAATATATAATTTTAATAGATTAAGGATGCTGTGGCTACTCCAAAACCAAATTAAAACTATAAGATCACTAGACAATTATCAAATTCTTGCCTAAACTTTATGTGATTAAAACTTAATAATCTTAGGTAGCTGAATATGCTGTAGCATTTCCTTAATTAACCAAGATTAAAAACTCAATATATTTCAGTAAATTAAAGATGCTTTGGCTATTCTTTAATAAATCGAAATAAAATCACATTGGCAAGAAATAATTAAAATTTTGACAAACAGATTATACCAGATTGTGATGGGAAAATCTAAATATACTCCAAGGAAAGGTGGTTAGAGACTAAGTCTCACTGAAAACCAATTCCTTAAATAGAGTATCAATTTAAGGAGACTAGTGGCTCAAGATATCCTTAACTCATGGCCATTAAAACAAGTATGTCTCCCCGATTCATATATACTTAATGTATAACTGTTTGGGGTAATGAACCTAAAACTGTAGGTATATACCAGAAAACTGTAGGGTTCACCTATGATTAAAGCTTAAATGGTGAACTAAAATTAGCGGATTAAACGTGCTTAAATTCAGGCACTACCGCGACTAAAGTTTATGCATAAGTCCAACTTAAATAGGAACTAATATAATTCCATCTCAAAGTATGCATTGCTAAAGGCATAATAAAATTGCATAATTTAAAACAGAATATTATGCTTAGGACAAATATGCATAAAATTAAACATTAAACTCATATATTCCAAAGAAATTGCATAACTTAAAGCAATTTACAATATGAGATTCTAAAGTATAAACTTAATATTCAAACACCGATGAGTCCAAACCAAAAGAGACCCAACATTTTGAATAATAATGTACTGAATATATACTTTAAAATTTTTAAACTGTAAGCCCATGGGAAAAAATGTTTTAATGCATGAAGACCAAATTCATGAGAAATAACTGAATTTACAAATTCAAACAATATCACACCAAAAGGATATGCTATAATTTGTAAATCAAAATCTCACAAACCCTAATTGCATAATTAAACTTAATATTATGCACTTAATGTGATCGAATGCATAAAACAATCTAAAGAGTATGAACCAACTAAAGAATATGAATTTAAACCAAAATTCATTTATTCATACTTAACCAAATATGGGCAATAATAATTCAAAGAACTAAATGAATTATGAAATTAATGGCAAAAGTCAATTGCCTAGAAAATATGTTTTCCAAGATTACTAAATTGATTCAAAATCACTCTCCATAACCAAGGTAATAATATTATTATTATTAATGGCAAAATTAAAAATAACCAAAATATCAATAAATAGCCATAATAATATTATCACATTATTTAGGAGACTAAATATGGAAAAACAGTGGTTAAAACCGCTAACATTTATAAACGTTTTCGGATAAAATTTTGAAAACTTAATAAAATTTGAAGTCCGAAAAAACATTAATGTCAAGAAAATTATTTTCTGTACTGGAATATTATCACATAAATTTATATGGAAACAGTTCAAGGTACATATCTGAATACCATAACAATATTAATGTTATCACTAATTAATTATTAATAGCAATAAGTAACATTATAATCACTATTAACATTAATAATAATGACAATTTCAAAGTATGGTAATACACCTTTTAATGTTTCCATTTTTCTAAATATAAAATATGCGACTAGTCCAAATTAGCGGTTAACTGTAACTGTAGCACTAATTATCAATAATAACTGTAAAAGATAATTAATGGCTAACCTTAATGATCCAGAATTCTCCCATCTTCACTGTCGGTGTCACTAGCCTCGATGCAGCGTCCAATGGTACATTAAAATTTATTGGTAGGACTTAATTACCAACATTAATATAATAGTCATGTAAAATGAAGTGGTAATCATGCCAATGTACCAAATATAGCAGATTACCATGAAATAATAATTATTATGAAAGGTAATAAAATAAGATTAGTCCCTAAACTTAATAACAGTAATTAATAATGCCGAATTTTAACTTAATAAATGGCAAAACTGTAATTAAGGGATGCCAAATACTAATCTCAATTTACCACATAATAATTAATCATGACTATTAGGGAGACTGAAGTTAAGGTAATAACTAAATTACCAATTTTACAGACAATATACCAACTATATTGCTTTTGCCATAAAATTAAAGACTTAATATTATTATTAAGGCCCTGAAAAACTATTGATAGATTAAAAGTTTAATCAACTTAAACAATAGTTATAATTCTTAATGGCCAAAATAACAATTAAATGCTTAAATCCTTAATGTCTCTCAACAGGCCGAGACAATAATTATAGCACTTAATCACTCAAATTAGGCTCATAAACCTCAATGGCCCAAATGAATTATAACATGGATGGAAACTGGTCTAGTATTGAAGTAGACCTAAAACTTAATATTATTACCAACGATGAATACCAAAATATGGTAGTTAGTAATAATTAAAACTCAATAAACATGTTATAAGGAGCTATAATTATTATTAAAATATCAATCAAAATGGTGGGATCCATACTTTAGTGACCGAGAATAGGTCCTGAATAGCTTGTTCAAAATAGGTTCTAAAGTCCATGAGACACATAAAACTAAAATGTGCTCAAAATTAAGGAGAAACCAAACAAGCTACCTTAATAGGTCATAATGCCTAAAATTGGCCTAAGGATCTAAAATTGAATGATATTTAATAATGACTTTATGAGTTAATAATATGCTAAATCCAACCTTAATGCATGCTTTTCTAAATGCATAATTAATCAATAAAATGATTATAAATATACAAGCATGCTTGGATTTGTAAATTAATATATTATTAACCCACATGCCCTAAATAAATTGCAATACTTTAGGCAATTTAATATAAACCTTAATATTAAATTAAAATTCAAATAGCAAATTAAAAACTTAATATTTGCTAAAAATAGAATAATAATTTAATTATGAATTCAATGCCAAAATTAAGAACAAACTAAAGGGCATCAATATTTCAAAACAAGCAATTACCATATATTTACCATTTGCCAAATAATATACAATATTAATTAAGGTAATGTAAATATGGCAATATTAAACTAAATTATTACCATTTACCAAAATTAATGTGTATAATATTAAATAAAGCAAATTAAAATTATGGTAAATATAGATAATTGCAATAATGAATTTACTAGCCACTAGGAAGCAAGATGACGTACTGCATTCAATTTCTAAAATTATTGACGTGCAACACATTCTTCCCAAATGTGGAGAACCAAGCAGCAGTCCTGACGCCGTGAACACAAGCAGCAGCAGCCGGAAGAAAACGTGAATGCGGAGAACTAAATCCGCAAGCTCACCGCGTTACCTTTCCGCTGCGCCCAAGAAGCAACTTAGCCACCATCTCTGTCCATGGAAATCGGCGAACAACAAGACTTCCATGGAAGATTCTCACCAAATGAACATAGCGACAGACCATCCATAATACTCATAGCACAAATTATATCATATACAAAAAACTTGATGTATATAATAACTTAATTTGTTTTAGGCAAAACAATCAACCAGACAGAGATTATAAAAGGCTCTTGATACCAAATGTTAGATATACAATAGTCTAACTATAATAAACCATAGTATACGAGAAACCTGACCTCGTATGATAGCGGAAGCGTAGCCGTGTTGATCTCCAGCCATAGTTGATGCTCCTGTTGTGTTGCCTCTTAACGGTAGACCGTTAGCTATGTTTTGCCTCAGGCCTGACTCGGAACCCTAGATGGTGTATTGGTATCTACTGAGCAGTCTGAGTACCGTAACTGAATGTGCTAACTAATCCATAATCCTGTATCCCATCAATCCAGGTTATATTAGGCACAGAGTTTGGTTGACTAACAACTACTAGTTATTAAGTCCAACCAGACCACTTAATAAGCCTAGTCAACTTGCACCACTTAATTAAGGCCCTAATATATAATATCAATATATATTATTAGGGAAAATCTTACATACAGTACGTACACCAAAATGCATTTTGGAAAGAGTTCTACTAGGTGCTGGGCGCAGATGAGATGAGATGTTTGCAAGTGCAATGACTCCGATGCCAAGAAGAAGGGCCAGGAACTTATGATAAGGCTTTTCCACGGCCACCGGCGGCTGAGGCCCGTAACCCTTGGAGAGCAGATGGTGAATGGAAATGAATATGAAAGCTCCATACGCAAGGTCAATTGAGATTGAATAAATCCAGTCCGCAACAGAGCCTTGAGTTGTGGCGTGGATCACAATCCCAATGGAAACGCCGGCTGGACTGGAAATGGCAAATGCTAATGCATAAGCTATGCTGGACGAGAGCGGGCGATCCGGGATCATTCTCACCAGTGCTATTCCCATTGCAATTGCGCCAAATATTTTCTGGAACCAGATTTTCATCAGAAGATTCTTCCAATCACCGGCGGCTTTGGCGTCTCCTGCAACTCCAATGGCGATCCCCTCAAAGACTGAATGGAAACACAGCACGAATATCAGAAGCAGGCTGTCCCCGAGTGTCAAGAAATAATGGTTTTCGGTTTCATCCATCACCTTCTGCAACTCTGATTGTCCATTTAAATTTCCACCCTCGGCGTTTCCTGCATGCATGCATATATGTTGCAATATATAGGTAAATTCATACATAATTAAGGATGACAATGGAGCACGGAGCAGGGAGCAGGGCCGTTCCAATAAAAATGGGTCCCGTGCAATATCATAGTTCGGACCTCCTTTTTTAAAAATAATTTGTATATATAAATATATATAAATAATAGTTGTTCAAAATGTTGCATCAAAAATTCAAGAATATCTATTAATTTGGAATCAGGGCATCCTAATTTCTAGCTTGATCACTGTGACCAACACCATCTAAACAACTATCAACATTCTTATCATTTTCATTGTCACAGTGATACCTATCATTGTTGATTCATTGTGCACACGTACTATCATTTAAAATTTTTCTAAAATCTCACAATCATCTTGATCTTCTATATATATAGGTTCAAGTGCATGTGGTTGGTGCACCCAGGTGCAATTGTGCGGTGATGGTAGAGCCATTGATTTTGCTTAAATCAACGTCCAGGATTACTAAAATTAAAAAAAAAAAAAACTGGGTGGTTATTAATTTGGTAATTTTTGCATCTAGGTCAAATTTAAGGTGCATGGTTTATATGCTTAAGGTGCGTGAATTTTGTGATTAAGGGGCGTGAGTTTTGTGCTTAAGGTGCGTGAGTTTTGTGGTTAAGGTGCGTGTTATGTACTTAATGTGAGTAGTTGTTGAAACTTAAGATACGTGAGTTTTTTGCTTAAAGTGCGTGAGTTTTGTGCTTAAATGCGTGAGTTTTGTGCTTAATGTGAGTAGTTGTTGAAAATTAAGGTGCGTGAGTTTTCTTTTTAAGGTGCGTGATTTGTATGCTTAAGGTGCGTCAGTTTTGTGAAACTTAAGGTAAATCATTTTAAAACCTTAGGTGCGTAGTTTGTATTCTTAAAGTGCTTTGTTGTGTACTTAAGATGCGTGGTTTGTGTTCTTAAGATGTTTTGTTTATGTGCTTAAGGTGCGTGTATGGTTTGTGTACTTAAAGTGCGCTATTTTAATGTTTAAGGTGCGTCCTTTGCACAAGCGCACATGAATTCTTCCCCACACCTGAACTACTCTTCCCTATATATATATTTGATGCACATGCTATATTATGATTCAGTATATATATGGAGAGGTGAATTGAAACCAAAATCATGTATGCTTGACCTCAAATCAAGTATTTTTATTTTGTTAATAAAAAATAAAGAGTTTCTTTGTTAAAAATATAATAATTTGGAAAGGAATATAAATTTTTCAAACAATGACTTGGTTAATGTTAATTTTATTTTTAAATGAGGTTACTTCTTTTCATTCATCCTCAGTGTATAGCATATATACATGACAGTGCATTAAATTTATATATATATATTTGGGCGAGGAGGGGTATTCGGTATCCCTCCCCAACGGGAAATTACCGTATACATTCCCTGTCCCAGAAAGTTTTTCCCATCCCGTCTCCGTTCTGACGGCGGGAACTGGACAAATTGCGCTTCCCTAACATAATGGGAAAATAAAAAGATCAGAAAAGAAATTTAAAGCAAAAACAAAACCTTGGAGCTCAAGATCGACGGTGGGTTTATCAGAGCAGCCCCCATTTGTGTGCTTCCCAGAAATAAAAGAAATCACACAACCAGCAAACATAACCAGCAGGTAGCCACAACTCATGAGCATGAACGCCAACGGGTATTTTTCACCACTCAACTCCTCAAAAGATTGGTTAGCATCGCTCAACAAATGCATCATAGCAGTTCTGCCAGTTCCCAGAAACATAGCGCTGGCCAACTTCGTCCCTTGCACCAAGAACCCCTCGTTCCACCTGAGAAAGTACGGGGATATTCCCCCAGCAAACACGACAATCAGACACCATATATTTACCAGAACCAAGGACCGATGTCTCAGGTTAGGCTTTTCAGGGGGTGAGTATTCGACGTCGGAATTGGAGTCGGAGACAACGAGAAAGAAGAGGAGGAAGGCGAGAAAGAGAAGAGAGCGAGCCATTTTTGTCAGCAACTTAGCTTGGTGAACTCAAGCATATATATATATATATATGCTCTCATAACTTGTCTTCTAGATGACCTAAAGGAACAATTCACGGCGCTTAAACGTCCGTTTATTGAGTGGAAAAATTGACAAGAGCTTTAACGTCCGTTTATTGGGCGCTACAGTATGTAACATACGGTTGTATACTGTGATTTCTACGAAAGGAACATAACTTGAAAGTCTTGAAACATACGGTTGTATACTGTACAGTGGTCTGTGGGGCCATAACATCATTCAAAACTTCAACATTATTGTCTTCTTTCTAAACAAAGAAATCACATATTCAACATATCTTCTTCCCGAACAAAGAAATTACATCTTCCATCTTGTAAAATAAATATTAATCGAACTGAAATTACAATGTATATAAAATGAAATCTGAAATAAAACTTTAGTTGTGTTGAAATAAAACTACAATGTATGTTTCGGTCCACAGTCAAATTTGTCGAATGACACATAACTTGGTCCGAAGAAACAAATCAAAATTCTTATTTTTGAATTAATCAAACTGAATTTTTTCGATTAATCAGTCAGTTAATCAAAATATTTTAGTCTAATTTTTAAAAATCTTAAAATTTATAAATAAATTAGTAAATTTATAATTTCACTCCACAAAATAAGAAAATTTGAAAAACTAGTCTAATAGTATGATTTATAAAGAGTTAATTCCAGCAATGGTCCCTCGAGTATGGTGATTTTCCACAATTAGTCCTCGACTTTTAATTTGGACAATTTAACCCTCTGACTATTGAAATCTTTCCAATTGTGGTCCTTCCGTCAAACCCTAGTTAAGTGATCGTTAAATTGAGGAGTAAAAGCGTCCTTTCCCCTAATATTTCATCTTCATTCTCGTTTTAGTTTTTCGAACTGCTGCTTTCCCCTTCTATCCTCGTAGAATTTGGATATTCCGGCGAATTTCCCGATGCTCTCCTTTGCCAAGAAGCTAACGGTTTCTCCGTAATCCTCGGTATCGGAATTGGAGTCCGAGTTGAACCAGACCAACACTCAGCAGGGAGAGGGGAAGGCGACAACGACGAGGGAATCTGGCGGAGGGAACAGTGAAACGAATGGGTGGCGTAGCAACTGATCGGAGCTTCATCGCTTCTTCAAATCTCGTTGCAGGCACTTGGATAGGAAATCGCGGCATAATTCCGATGACTGAGTTGGGAATTAAAGCAACTCGTTGGAGTAACGGATTCGGCAGAGTGTATCGGCGGCGGCGGCGCAGTCCTCCCACGGTCCTGGCTATGAAACAACTAGATAGGACGGGTACACAAGGAAGCTGAGCAAGGAGTTCTCTGTCGAAGTTCTAACGCTAACTCTCCTTAACCACCCCAATCTGGTAAATCTAATCGGGTATTGCGTCAATGGAGAACATAGACTTTTGGTGTATGAATACTTGCCTATGGGTTCTCTTACAGAACATTTGCTCGGTAATCAGTACTATTTTTTTCTTTCACTACCTATATATTAACTGATTGAGTACTTAATACACCTGCTCCATTACTAATGCAAGCCTTGTTTTTTTAAAAAATTTATTTTCGAAAATACAAATTTCTTCTTCCTTGGACAATTGGTTGGGAGTTTCACACTTTCACCCATAACTCTTGTTTAAATAATTTTTTTTTTTTGGGTTTTTCTCTGTGTTTTCTTTGGTTCTGCATATGTACTGTTGATGAGTTAGGGGTGGGCTTTCTTGATTTAGCATAATTTACAAAACACAAAAAAAGTTTTGAGCTTTGGCTGCTTAAAAATTTTCATGTTTCATTTGTGTAGTGTTTATACAAGGCCAAAGTTGAGAGCTTTATGCATTTTTGGTTGGGTTTTCGTGTTTTTAGTTAGAATTTGATGAGTATCTGAATCAGAGAACAACTCTGGGCTTTCGAGTTTCCGGCGGCGTTCGTCGGAGTTCTTATGTGAACTAGAGTTTTCTGACAATATGTTTCGAGTTCAGTGATAATGTTTTTGTATCTTATTCGAGTTGAGATACATAGTGAGAGGAGAGGTTTGTGAATGCAAAAAAAATGTTGTCTGTTTCGCATGGCGCAAGAACTCGGAGCTCGTTGGAAGAAATGCTGGAAGCTCTGCAGCGAGAGACGAGAAACCAAAGAACTTGCCGCCGGAGCTGCCGTGGCCAACCCCCCTATGATCTATTGTAATTTGAGTTCCAGAAACATCTAATTGGATGAAGACTTTAATCCTAAACTATTTGACTATGGTCTTGCCAAGCTCACGAATGGGGGAGGAAATACAGCAACGACATGGGAATGAAGATGAAATATTAGGAGAAATGACGCTTTTACCCCTCAATTTAATGTTCACTTAACTAGGATTTGACGGAAGGATCACAATTGGAAAGATTTTAATAGTCAGAGGGTTAAATTGTCCAAATTAAAAATCAAGAACTAATTATGGAAAATCACCATACTCGAGGGACCATTGCTGGAATTAACTCATTTATAAATTATAAAAAATTAAAACATATACACACGTAATTAGACTAATTGATCAGTTAATTTTATTGACCAATACTTTTAAACTAAATTAACCATTAACTAAAAATCCTAAATCATTAACTAAATAAAAATATTTCAGACAATGAATTTTATCATTCGATCTGTTAATTAATTTTTCATTGGGTACCGAGAGACGAGCTGCCAAATTACTGAGCCACAAGGTACCATCCACAATGTAATCAGATCATGAAAGCCATCGGATCAGAGCCTTATCAATTAATTTTCTCCAAAGTGCATCTAAAATAGTGTAGCTTGTGGTATGGGTTCCAAGGGTAATTCCCTTCTTCCTAGCGAACCATTAGTATTAATATTCATGTTTAGCAAATCCAACTGACACATAATCTAAGACTAAACTATATACAATAATAATAATAAATAATAAATGGTCTAATACAACTCTTTGGTGAAATACTATTTTTAATTAGTTGAAAAAGCTATAGGATTATTCCCCTGCTCCTCCCATTCTTACCCCAAAAGTCTTTGGTTAGTATTGCCTACATTGTAGTTCGCCAATGCACTATAAGTCCAATACTTATTAGAGGCCGAGCCAAAAAATTTAGGTTAGGGGTTAAATTTATAGAAGAAATTTATTACGTTAGTCAACATTAGTACTAACGTAACTATACAATATCATTATATATATCATACATGATTGTGCCGATTATTATTGATAATTATTTTTATTTATACTATGTGTAATAATATATGAAATATATAATTATATGAGTACGATTGTTAAAGTTGTCAAACATTACTTTCAAATTTTTCACATAACACTATATATATAATAGTAAAAAATAAAGAAAATTATAATTTGTATCAAAAAGTTTTAGGGTAATTGTAGAATTGTCTCTAATTGTTGGTCATTTGCAAATTTCGTTCATTTACTAACAAAATATTTAAAACGAAATTTGCAATATTAGTATAGCTTAGGGATCAAGATTAAACACAACATGTTATTAAAATGATGAAATTTGCAAGGTCTAGGACAAAAAGTGAGTATGACATACAATTATGCTCATACCGCAAGTGTTACTACACTGACATCGTCTGAAGATTTGTATGTACAGAAACAATTAGAAAGCAATGCTGTTTATTTAAGCTTTCGAATATTACAGTAGACAGAGTTGAAATTCAAGGAAACATTCTTACAATTCATTATGCTTTGCCTGGGAAGAAGATAGGCATTAGACAAATGACAGACAGCGCGAGTACAGACCTTATAAGAACCGATGATGGCAAGCTTCCACTGTCTTTCCGGATGAAAAGTGCTTCATAAACAGGCATATTCACCATCACTATCACCCCACTCAGACTCACCTGTGGGAGGAATTCCGGGGCCAACCCCAGTTTCATGGCTCCCCAGATGAAACTCAACAGGTTCAGCAATGCTAGCGTGGATGTAATGGTGAACATGAGGGATGAGCTCCCGAATTCCATCATTTCTTGCTGGTATCTGTTCTCAACATCGTTGTCCATTACCTTACCTGTGAGAGTGAATAATGCAGTTTCTGAGAATCCTAATTGTCTGCTAACTGTATCAAAGAATGCAAAGAAGTATGCTGTCGTCCTTCGAATCATCCATATTCTTTGCAGGTTCCACCATGACCTCACTGTCTCCCCGCTACTCAACGCTTCTGCTAATCCATACCCATTCCTGGCAGCATAAACGTATGCGAAAGGCAAGAACCAAATGCTGGTTACCTGAATTGAAGCACACAATTCAGAACGGAATAAGGACCCTCAAACCAAGAAAGTTAATAGGTCACTCCCGACTGGGAATGAAAGTTGTAACCTTGTGGTTACCAAATGAACAGCCTGACGAATTTGGTTGGGGTTGTCCATAGTTGACCAGTTCAAACCAAGAAGGCAAATTGACCATTCTTGACTGGGAGTCGAACTTGTAACATTGTGGTTACCAAATCAATAGTCTGACCAACTTGACTGGAGTTGCCCAGATAGAAAATATTTTTGAATGAAATAAAAGGGGTTGTGTTTATCTGGATACCTTTGGAAATAAGGAGATGTGATGAAGCAAGCAAAGGGAAGGGAGAATGACATAACAGAGTGTAGGAATGGAGATTGGAGCCCAGAGGAGGTAAATGCAGTATCCCATTTGAACAGCCAATTTTATTTTTCTAAACCCATATGTGAAGGGGTTATACTTGGAGAAGAAAATCTGAAACATGCCTTCAGACCATCTCTTATGTTGAACAAGAGCAACTTCCAATGTTGATGGAGCAACACCCAAAAAGGCATACCTTTTAGGATTATAGTAAACAGATTTCCATCCCCGGCATTGGATAGTTAAACCTGTGATTACATCTTCCGATAGACATCCATACACAAGCCCCATCTGCAAACATAAACATAAACATAAACATAAACAAAAATTCAGATCATTTTCTTATATGTGCACAAGAAGGAGAAAGAGAATGAGACAGACTCCTTTTCCCCATTGAGTACCCTCTTCATAGCTGCAATTCGCAACAATTTTTGATGCTTCTTCCAATTCTTCAATGCTTCCATCATTGGCCTTTTCCTTTCCACCATTCAATTCATTTTTGTGCTCTTTAAAGTACTTCTGTCCACAAAGACTTGCCCTTCTGTGAAAGCATCCAGTGCCACAGTAGAAAGCAGCTCCACGGCTACCCACGCATGGGAATTCAATCTGCAAAGCAGCAATAGTTGAAAATTATTTACATATTTGTGAAGTCAGACAACATGACTATTTCTGTGACTAACACTTACTTCATGGGTTACGCGGGCTACATTTCCATACAAATCATTCTTGGTAATATTAGCATAGCGCTGTGGAAGCTGCACAAACGATATCTCATGCCCTCGTTTTTCATCCATGAAAAAGCACAACGCCTCTCTTATTGCATCTGCATTGTTTGAGTACATGTCACAGTCCAAGTTGAGGATGATAGGAGCGTTACTAATTTCTGCAGACACTCTTATCTGCAAAGTTTCAGTTGCTCGAGTATTAAGCCTAGAAAAAGAATTTGAACAATGGTTTTCCATAAATAAATGACCAACTGCTTTTAATCACCAACGCGTTCATTGATCCAGCCTTGAAGTTATGCGGTTTTCTGGGCTTCTTCTCTCGCGACAGGTACACAAGGGTTGGTAATTGATTTCCATATGCATCGACAGCATTTCTGTTACGCCCATCAATTAAAATCTGAAAGCATGTTAAGATCTCAATTGCAATCCTTCAATTCCCTCTATATATATATATATATACCATTGCATATGAAGAACAAATTAAATTAAAGGTTGGGTAGTTACCTTAACAATTGAGTGATGGTTCTCTTTTGTAGTTTTAGAGTTCCATTCTGAGAACCCTTTGTGTTGGCTCTTTATTTCATCTGAAATTCTACCACTTCCCATGGCTACCTCAATCCTGTTTCTCATTTCTTCATATAATTTCTGTTAAGAAATTACAAAAGGATTGGAGCACAACAAAACAAATAAAGATAAAGTATAAGTTTGACCTTTATAATAGGACTAGGAATACTTAAGAAACAAAGACAAAAACCTTAGCTTGCCTTAGTATTGAACCATTCTTCTGCAAACATTTGGTCGTGTCCATCATCAATGTTTTGAGCAAAATAGACTTGTGGGGATCTTGGCTCTACCTTAAACTTGTTGCAGAAGGGTATCCAATACTTGGAGAATTTAGAGGCTTCCAAAAGAGCGTAAAATGTAAACTCCGACCCTCCATCATCTGATAGGTAAACACTCAACTTGTGAGGGGGATAATTGAAAGATAACACTGATAACACAGTGTTAATCACCAGCGTTGGCGGCTCCAATATGGGATCTGCTGTGCATACAAAAACATCCACCCCCGGCAACTTCTCCTCGTATCTGCAAACATATATAGTGAGAACATTCAAACGTTTCCACAACACCTTAAAACAGCATTCTGCCAGAGGAACAAAATCTTGAACTGAAATATTGTATAGAGAGATAGAAGACCTGAGGGAGAGGCTTTCTTTGAAGGGGCAAGTGTAAGCAACATCCCAGCGAGCAGACTGAGTAAAAATCCAATAAATACCAAAGAAAACCTCGGAAATGAACATCCCAATCCATGCCCATCTTCCTGCTTCCCCTGTTGTTGGGATATTTGTGAATCTGTAAAACCATATGAAGCAGATGGCCAAGAAAACTGTTACTGAAAACAACTTGTACGCAGTGTTCCCTCTCCTTGGGTTTGTCTCAAACAGTGGAAGCTCAACACTCTGCTTTTCTTCTTCCCTTCCCTTTCCCCCACCCATCTTATCTCTTCTTTGTTTCAGTAAGCAGCAGATACCAATTGTTATATGGTGCACAAGGGGTGCACAGTGCATTTTGCGTCCTAAAAATTCTATGTTTTGTATGTACATAATTGTACGATAAAATACATAAATTCCTAATGTAATACACATTATCTTAACATAATACACAATGCATATAAACGTTTAACATAATACACATCAACTATTAACATAATACACATAAACTACGTTGCACAATAAATTGTGCACCAGGGGTGCACGATATAATTTGCCCAGCAGATACAAATACATCAGAAAATACAAATACTGTTGCTGTATAGTGTATACTATCAAGTCTAGCGCTCAACCCCAGTCCACTCGCCCTGTTCGTTTCTACCATAGCCTTGACTCTTGAGGTGTATACAGTAAGGAAAATAATAAGTGGAGGAGCACAATTTTGTAATATATTTTAATTTTATTCTATTGGAGGAAAAAAAAAAAAGAAATAAAAATTATGGTTCATAATAATAGAAAGTGAACATATATCAAGGGGCACATGATTTACGAGAAAAACTTCAAATTGAGAAATATCACAAGTCCACCATTAACAAAGTTTCCACCCTAACAAGTAACAAATCTATCATACAAATTTTTAAACTATTACACGAGATACATTCATAAATCATCAAATACATAACTCTATGCTAAAGACATTCTTTCACATTCACATATTAAAAGGAATAATATCTCATACTCAAAATATTCAACTATTACAAATAAGATGAAAATGAATACAAATAGTACGAAAATATCTTTTTTAAAAAAATACTTGAAATAAATACATGTTGACCTTATAAAAAAAATGCATGTTTACCTTCAAAATATTTGATAAAGACAACACCCAATAAGTTCGGCAAACTCCAGTAAAATTGTACCAAATATGAAAGAGAAAGAAAATGGATGTTTTCCTCCTTCACTTTCTGCCGACAAAAATGAGTGTTATTAAAATTAGTGAAGGCTAATGATTCATCATTTGCAGTATATGGAATCTGCATAATGGAATTAAATATGCCAAAGATGAAGGTCAGAATATAAAACTAGAGTTATTAACCAAGCAACACATGAATAAACTGAGATTGTTTGTGTTCATTTGTTAAGATTTTGAGTGTTTGGTTTCGTGTTCGTTTGTTAAAGTTTTTAAAAATCTTATTCGTGTTCGTTTGTTAAGTATTTATTAGTGTTCGTTATGCGTGTTTATGCATGTTAATTAATTTGATATATAATTGTTGTTGGACGGATGGAGAATAATTTGGGAGTGTTAGGCGGCGTATTTGAGCACATTGTATGACGGATAGAGGTTGAGTAAGCAGATGCACAAGTGTGGAAATTCCTTTAACCGGTTAATGTATTATGATGGTGTGGTGGATGTGTGCGGGTTTAGTATAGGAGTGTGTGCGTAACAAGAGAAAATGACGGACTTAGGAATGTGGGGAACTGACACTTATATTGAAACTGTGGATGTGCACTGTGACACCCACTAACACGTGGTTGGAGGTGTGTGCGTGTAGGTGTCTTCGTAACAGTTAGGACCACCATGATTTCAGGATTTTGTGACGTGTGCGTGGTACAGAAGTAGTTGATGCATATTGGGCTAACAGTGGTCCGAGAACAGAATACCAGTTTACTAATATATGTTGTTTGTCAGGTCCACTACCCATGGAAGATGATGCCTGGCAGCGAGAATGTGTTATGGACGTATCACCAGGCGGCAATGAGACTTGGTTAACAGAGTGCGACCCCAACATCAAGCCGGCACAAGGTCAAATGTTTAAAAACTTAGACGACGGTATTGAACTCTACATGAAGTATGCATCTATAGCTGGCTTTGATGTGCGTCGAAGTTCTGACAAGAAGAACAGGTATGGGGCCATTTTGAGGAAAAAGATGGTTTGTTCACGTGAAGGTTTTAAGGAAACCAAAAACACAGGGCCGGTTGTTAGTGATGCCCCAACCAAGGCCAGACGCCGCCGGCCCTCAACAAGAGTTGGGTGCATGGCTAGGATTGTATTCAAACGAGACAAGACGGGAATGTATGTTGTGACGACATTCGAAGATGCACACACGCACTGTTTGTGCGAGGAGAGTTACAAGCCTTTCTTGAAAGTGAATAGGAAACTAGATGTTGGTCATCAGCAGTTCATAACAAATTGCTCTAAGGTTAATGTCGGTGCCAGTAAGAGCTTTGACATATACGCAGAGATGGTTGGTGGAGTTGAGAATGTGGGTTGTACGCAGCAAGATTTCAAGAATTACCGAAGGGAGGTGTTGGCATACATGCAAGGTAGAGACGCACAAATGGTAATATCAAAATACCTTGATATCAAATCTGACTACAGTGACATGTACTTCGAATACGAAGCAAATGAAAAAGATCAATTGGCACGTGTGTTTTGGGCAGACGGTGTGGCACGGCAAAAATTCAGTGCGTTCGGAGATGTCGTATCATTCGATGCAACGTACAAAACAAACAGGTACGCAATTTCGGAAACTAAAAACTAAAATTGCAATCGTATTATGTGTGTTACCGTTGAGGGTGAACCAGAGATTTGAAAGCCTTATTTAAAATTATTTGTGTATTTGTTTAAAATGTACATGGAGTGATATAGGGTGAATAGCATTCTGCTGTGCGTACGTGAGTTGAGGCGTGAGCGTAAAAGTGTCAACCACACGCATGGGCACGTATGTGACTGTCAAAACTAGACAGTATATGCATGAGAACTAACTAGTTTTCTGGTATGACAGGTACAGTCTCATGTTTGTCCCATTCACAGGCGTAGACAACCACAAAAAATGCGTGACATTTGCCGCAACACTAATTGCTAGGGAAGATGTGGAATCGTATTGTTGGGCGCTGAGGCACTTCAAGATCGCAATGGGTAGCATACCGCGTATTACAGTAACCGATCAAGACCCGGCCATGAAGGTAGCAATTACAAAAGAATTCCCGGAGACCCGACACCGTTATTGCATGTGGCACATAATGACGAAGGTGAGTGATAAAGTGAGCCCAGATTTGGCACGAAACGAAGAATTTCGAAGGGAGCTAAATGATGTAGTGTGGAATGACAGCGCGAGTTCGGAATATTTCGAAGTCGCGTGGAAAGGAGTTATTGAAAAGTACGAATTACAAGAAATAAAACACCAAAATATTTTTAAAACACTAAAAACACTACAAACAACACCAAAATCAACAACCACCAAAAACACCCAACCCCACCCCGCTATAGCAACCGGAAAAAGCATCAAAACCCATACCATCCATATATTTTTAAAACCCCGAACCCAAATCAGTCCAAACCACACCCAGCGCGATAAGGGAAAAAAAAAAAGCCGACTACACTGTAAAACACAAATCACTAACATGCAGAAATTATCAATCCCCAGCACCCACAATACTTGAACCCACACCTCCGCCATTCTTTAAAAAAAAAAAAAAAAAAAAAAAAAAAAAAAAAAAAAACCCTAACCCAAAAAATCGGAGAACACCACATACAACACCCCCGTACCACACCCCCCTCACCAACAAACGGATAGAAAACAAACAATCCACACCAGAACATCACTGAAACGTCCTACAAAATACGCAAAAACGAACTGCAAAACTAAACAACTCAAAACCCTAAATTGGAAACCCTAACCGCACAAATGGTAACCCCCAAACCCCCGCGGAAAACAAACAAAGTGGAGGAAGAATACCTGAACTTGATGCGGAGGAGATACCCCTAAGCCGCTTGGATTGTCTCCTGCGAGACCCAGACATGGCTACCAGTCGAAGGAGTAGGCGCGGAGACAAGAAACGGCGAAGCCCTCCGGAGAGACGAAGCGTCTACGAGAAACGAATAGGTGCGTAGAATTGACTGCGGAGAGAGAGAGATAAAAACTCCAATTTTATCATCACACACACGCACCAAATCCGGCGGATATAAATGCCTGTCCTAATCAATAATAATCTCTAGTTACAAAAATACCCCTGTCTAATAACACAACCAGCGCACGTGGAATAAAATTACAAACCATCTGGACCGTATAAGATACCAAATCAACGATTATAAAGGGTTCTCATGTGCTCAGCTGAAAGGGGGGTGTGCACCTGATTCAAAATATATATATATATATATATATATATATATATATATATATATATATATATATATATATATAAGCGTTGTAAAAATCGACCTAGGCGGCCGCCTAGACACCGACTAAGCGCTAGGCGCCCTTAGGTGTAGGCGATTTCGATCAGTCTATGCGGTTTTTAGTCGGCTGACCGACTAGACACTTGAAGGTTAAAAAATGTACTTAAAGACTATAAATATACATTAGTAGAAGAAAAAAAAGGTTCACTGCAATGTTAAGGCCCTATTTGGTAAATTAGTTAGCCTATAGGCTAATTTTAACTTATTTAATTTAGTCAGCTTAGTTAGGTAGCTAACTCAGCTCAAGCTCGGCTAGCTACAGTTTGACCGGTTGGTTTAGTCAGCTTATACCGCAAAGTTAAGTATAGGCCAGGGCCGATTAGAGTGAAATGTTGGGGCATTGCGCGTAGACGTAGTGTATGTTTTTCGGCATCCATGCATGCCCACATATTCCATTGATCACCACTAGAGTCTAGTATAGAGACGAATGTTTAATTTTGATATTTGATTTTTCTAAAATAATCAAATTAAAGTAGTTGAAGCGGGCCTTATAGTAACACAATACGTTGAATAATTATAGAAATAGACAAAATAAGGCCACTAAGTGAACCCTGTTACAAGACACATTTTCTTAAGATTTGTATGTACAGGTAGAGACTTGGGAAACAATTAGAAAGCAATTTGTGTTTTTTCAAGCTTTCGAATACTACAATTCGACAGTTGAAATTCAAGGAAACAGTCTTACAATTCATTTTGCGTTGCCTGGGAAGAAGACAGGCATCAAACAAACAACAGATAGCGCGAGCACAGACCTTATAAGAACCGATAATGGCAAGCTTCCGCTGTCTTTCCGAATGAAAAGAGCTTCATAAACAGGCATATTCACCATCACTATCACCCCACTCAGACTCACCTGTGGGAGGAATTCCGGGGCCAAGCCCAGTTTCATGGCTCCCCAGATGAAACTCAACAGGTTCAGCAATGCTAGCATGGATGTAATGGTGAACATGAGGGATGAGCTCCCGAATTCCATGATTTCCTGTTGGTATCTCTTCTCAACATCGTTGTCCATTACCTTACCTGTGAGAGTGAATAATGCAGTTTCTGTGAATCCTAATTGTCTGCTAACTGTATCAAAGAATGCAAAGAAGTATGTTGTCGTCCTCCGAATCATCCATATTCTTTGCAGGTTCCACCATGACCTCACTGTCTCCCCGCTACTCAACGCTTCTGCTAATCCATACCCATTCCTGGCTGCATAAACGTATGCAAAAGGCAGGAACCAAATGCTGGTTACCTGAATTGAAGCACACAACAATTCAGAACGTTTGAAATAAGGACCATAACGAGATAAACCAGCCTAGGTTGGCTATAGCCGATCAACTCAAACCAAGAAGGTTAATAGGCCACTTGTAACTTTGTGGTTACCAAATGAACAGCCTGACCAATTTGGTTAGGGTTGTCCATAGTTGACCAGCTCAAACTAAAAAGACAAATTGGCCATTCTTGACTGGGAGTCCAACTTGTAACATTGTAGTTACCAAGTTAATAGGCTGACCAATTTGGTTGGGTTGTTCTAGATGGAAAATATATTAGAATGAAATAAAAGGGGTTGTGTTTATGTGGATACCTTTGGAAATAAGGAGATGTTATGAAGCAAGCAAAGGGAAGGGAGAATGACATAACAGAGTGTAGGAATGGAGATTGGAGCCCAGAGGAGGTAAATGCAGTATCCCATTTGAGCAGCCAATTTTATTTTTCTAAATCCATATGTGAAGGGGTTATAGTTGGAGAAGAAAATCTGAAACAAGCCTTCAGACCATCTCTTATGTTGAACAAGAGCAACTTCCAATGTTGATGGAGCAACACCCAAAAAGGCATGTCTTTTAGGATTATAGTACACAGATTTCCATCCCCTGCACTGGATAGTTAAACCTGTGATTATATCTTCTGATAGACATCCATACACAAGCCCCATCTGCAAACATAAACATAAACATAAACAAAAATTCTGATCATTTTCTTGCTCATAGAAGGTGAAATTCCAGCGCTCCACAATCCAACCCATTAAGTGGGTGGACCAGTGTCTGGTGCCCACAAGGAACCCGCCATGTACATTGGTTGTATGACTTGTATCTCCCACATTACGGTTGTTAGGGCTCAATCTTGTGTCATTGCCCAAAATCTACCACTCAGAAACCAACTAGGTGCATTTGATCATATTTTTATTTGTGGATAAGAAGGAGAAAGAGAAAAAGAAAGAGACAGACCCCTTTTCCCCATTGAGTACCCTCTTCATAGCTGCAATTTGCAACAACTTTTGATGCTTCTTCCAGCTCTTCAATGCTCCTCCCATCATTCATCTTTTCCTGTCCACCATTCAATTCATATTTGTGCTCTTTAGAGTACTCCTTTCCACAAAGGCTTGCCCTTCTGTGAAAGCATCCAGTGCCACAGTACAAAGCAGCTCCATGACTACCCAAACATGCAAGCTCAATCTGCAAAACACCAATACCTGAAAATTTATTTACACGACACGATGCCAGAGAACACGACTATTTCTGTGACTAACGCTTACTTTGCTGGTTACACGTGCTACATTTCCATACAAATCATTCTTGGTAACATTAGCGTAGCACTGTGGATGCTGCACAAACGATATCTCATGCCCTCGCTTTTCATCCATAAAAAAACACAACGCCTCTCTTATTGCATCTGCATCGTTTGAGTACATGTCACAGTCCAAGTTGAGGATGATAGGCGCGTTACTAACTTCTGCAGACACTCTTATCTGCAAATTAAGTTTCAGTTGCTCTCTAGTATTAAGCCTAGAAGAAGTCAAGAAGAGTTCCCATAGATAAAAGACCAATTGCTTATTAGTTACCAATGCATTCATTGATCCAGCCTTGAAGTTATGTGGTTTCCCGGGCTTCTTCTCTCGCGACAGATAGACAAGGGTTGGTAATTGATTTCCATATGCATCCACAGCTTTGCTGTTCCTCCCATCAATTAAAATCTGAATTGAAAACATGTATTTAAGATCTCAATTGCAATTTGAAGAACAAATTTATAAATTAATGGTTGGGTAGTTACCTTAACAATTGAGTGATGGTCCTGTTTTGTAGTTTTGGAGTTCCATTCTGAGAACCCTTTGTGTTGGTTCTTTATTTCATCTGAAATTCTCCCACTTTCCATGGCTATCTCAATCCTGTTTCTCATTTCTTCATATAATTTCTGAAGAAATTACAAAAGGATTGGATCGAGCACAACAAAACAAATAACAGGAATACTTAAAGAAACAAAGACAAAAACCTTAGCTTGCCTTAGTATTGGACCATTCTTCGGCAAAGATTTGGTCGTGTCCATCATGAATGTTTTGAGAGAAGTAAACTTGTGGGGATCTTGGCTCCACCTTAAACTTGTTGCAGAAGGGTATCCAATGCTTGGAGAAAGTAGAGGCTTCCAAAAGAGCGTAGAACGTAAACTCTGACCCTCCATCATCTGATAGGTAAACACTCAACTTGTGAGGGGGATAATTGAACGACAACACTGATAACACAGTGTTAATCACCAACGTTGGCGGCTCCAATATGGGATCTGCTGTGCATACGAAAACATCCACCCCCGGCAACTCCTCCTCGTATCTGCAACATACATGTGATCACACCATTCAAACTGTTAGGATCACCACGCAACTTTATTTCCTTATAGACTATCACGCAACTTTATTTCCGTATTTGCTGGACTTGACCTTTACCCTTTACTGGCCTCCGTCCAACCGTCCCCAGCAACTGGCTGTTAGACTTGGCCTTCACTGGCCTCTGCCCAACAGGAACAATAACTTAAAGAGAGAGAGTAGACCTGAGGGATAGCCTTTGTTTGAAGGGGAAAGTGTAGGCAACATCCCAGCGAGCAGACTGAGTAAAGATCCAATAAATACCAAACAAAACCTCGGAAATGAACATTCCAATCCATGCC